ACACACACATTCACACACACACTCATACACTACGGACAATTTTAGCTTACCCAATTCACCTGTACCGCATGTCTTTGTACTGTGGGGGAAACCGGAGTACCCGGGGAAACCCACACGAACGCAGGGAGAACATGCAAACTCCACACAGAAATACCAACTGAGCCAAGGATCGAACCAGCGACCTTCTTGCTGTGAGGCGACAGCACTACCTACTAAGCTACTGCGTCACCCGTAAATGATCATTTTATATTTTAAATTAGAATGTGATGAATTGCTGTGTGTTTACTTGTATGTTAAATGATTTTATGATCTGTATGTTAAATTTATTTGCTATTATTGTTTATGATCTGCTTTTGTGGTTCATTTGGAGTTCAATAAGCAATTCCAGGTATGGGGTCCTTCAAAACATTCCGTTTCTCTATAGATATTATTTTTTTCATAGATTATGTTTTTTTTTTTTGTGCATTAAACTGCGTGTTAAATATATATTTCAAGTATATTTAATATATTGTAATATTTTAAGGAGCCTGTGGGCCCTATCATACACCCAGTGCAATAAGGCGCAAGCCATGTTTGCTGCGATTCATTGCTATTTTCAGTCCAGCACAACCCTAATTTTCACGTTTTGCGCCACGTTGTTTAAATAACAAACGCATTTTCGCCACTTTGTGGACTTATGGGTGTGCCGGTCTAGAAATGTGTGTTCCAGTCTGTGTTAGGCGCATTGTTGCAGTTTTCAGGAACTGAAATACACTGCGCCATTGACCAGCTAAAGGCAGGACTAAAGTCGGTCTGCCTTAAACGCTTACACATTGCTTAATACACACAGGATGTACAGCAATACACAAATATTTTTACATATGAAAAAGAATTAAAGTATTAAAATGATACAGAAGTTATTATTTTCTACATAAATATAAAAACCACCGCCTTCATGCCTCATCTCGGGGGGGCTTTTTCAGTTTATTCATGACAATTTTCATTTGTATAATTTTCATTTAATTTTTGCATATTTATATTTGTTTTATTAAAAACAAGCTTAGATTTGTCCACCTGTCAGGTTTTACACCATATGGGGCATAGGACGTGTGTTTGGATATAACTATTTATATTCCAACATTATGTTGACCATGATTGGCTGAAGGGGACCACACTTCGTTATTCTTGTTCATTTAATTGTTAAAGAGGGAAAGAGAAAGTAAAGAGGCTGAATGGAGAAGGCTCGTTCTTTATCCTCGTGCTGCAGATGCTCTGTTTAACTGTTTTCTTGCTATTGAAGCGTTCAACTTTTACACTTACAAAGTCCGCCATGTAAATAGCAAACGCGCCATGGCGTGACGCAACTCACTCTAAAAGGGAATGGTAGATGAGACTCTGAAATAGCAAAAGTATCCTTAAAATAGCAAAAGTGAATTCAGACACACCCTTAATGCTTTTGTGCCCTGCGCTTTAGATTTTGCCCCAAGTTAAAATAGAGCCCATTGTCTCCTTAATGTAAAATTACATGTAATAAATACACAAATAAAAATAAGTTTACAAACTAACTTTGTACAGTTAATTAGCCATTTCTGTGATTAGATTTTAATTTTAATAAAAACAAAAACATTCAAACTAATTTAATTCGCAATCAATCAAACTCATCTTTTCATCATTTTTCATAGGAATAGAATAAATGCTGTTTGTGAATCCACAGCGAGAATTCACAGTGTGAATTTTTTATACTGGGAAATTTTCTTTTATTTAAACAATCTCTCTCTTAACAAGCTCACAGCGCTCATCATCTGACAGGTGTTACAGTCAGAAAGCAGGATCACAGATGATCTGCATTTGTCCTATTTCCAATTTTTTTTACTTTCCCAAATGTTCTCAGACCTCCACCTCTTTACTCTGATCGCTGGCAGATCGGCAGTGTCTTTGAACCACTCACACCTCGTGCATGTGAGGTATGAAATGAATGTTCCACTGTTTACGGGGACCCAAGGTTTTGAAGAGAAGAAGTAATATTGTTAAACGGTTACATACAAATTTTACAATATATATTAGAAAATTTATAAAAGAGCTATTTGATTAATAAAGGCTTCTTGGCGTTGGTCGGGGCCCCCTAATTCCCTAAGCGGCTGCTTACCTCGTGCTAACCATGTCAAAATGTTTGTAAAACTTGCTTTAAATTGTTTTTTTTTACCAGTTTACTCAATAAATATATGAACTATATTGTAGAGCATTTGTACTTGGAGTATGTTTTATTTGCAATCTTCAAGTGATTTTTTTTTCCATAGCTGTGTGCCTAAGTTACTAAAGTATACTGGTTTAAAGTCTCCTTGACCCAAAATAGAGCATCCTAGGCCAGATGATGTTCCTCTTTTCAGTCCACAGGGACTGCACTGGCAGCAAGACAGAGGTAAAAAATACTTTACGCCAACAAGACCGAGTTCTACTGAGGAAAATAACCAAACGAACACTCATAAATCATGTTAATGTCTCATTAATAAGTCCTGCCGCATCATGAAATAATGACCATTTCTAAGTGGAATACCTCTGATTCATCTGGTGCTTCCTAAAACAATTATATACAGTGAGTATGGGTAGTATTCAGACCCCCTTACATTTTTCACTCTGTTATATTGTAGCCACTTGCTTAAATCATTGAAGTTAATTTTTCCCTCAATAATGTACGCACAGCACTCATTATTGACAGAAAACGCAGGCTTGTTGATATTTTTGCAGATTTACCTAAAACCCCCCTGAAATATTACATGGTAGTATTACATTATATTATATTACATATATTACAAATATTATATTTGTAAGCTTGGCCAGTTCTGTGCTTTGCCACAATTCTGTCTCTGAGCTCCTTAGGCAGTTCCTTTGACCTCATGATTTTTATTTGCTCTGACATGTATTGTGAGTTGTAAGGTCTTATATAGAGTAGTGTGGGGCTTTCCTAATTAAGTCCAATCAGTATAATCAAACACAGCTGGACTGAAATGAAGGTGTAGAACTAGGGCTGTGCAAATAATCGAAAATCCGATTTCAATTTCGATTTTAGCTTCTAACGAATATGAAAAACCATTAATCGAGATACACGATTATTATCTTAGCAGCGCGAAAGACCGCATGCTTATGTGTGTGCGATGCGCCAGCCTGATCTCACGAGAAAACGTAAGTATTTTACGTTTTGCCAGTTTAGTGGCTAATTTGTACGAGTTCAGTCATACGAAAATGTACGATTTTATAAAGGAGGCGTGGCACCTAACCCCACCCCTAAACCGGACCGTCATTGGGGGATGAGCAAATCATACTAAATTGTACGAATTAGATCATACGAATTCATACGAATTAGCCACTAAATCAAAAAGTTACGAATTGCCGTGAGATTGTGTTGGACGCGCACACACAGAAGCATGCGGTCTCATTCGCACACTGAGACGAGCAGAGCGCAGTCAGCGCACACATCTAAAGTCATCTTAACGTGAGCGCTTTAATGGTCAAATAGGTGTCAAACGCAGTGTTTAGTGATTATTCATATTTACCCATTTTTGTAAAAAATATACGAGTTGAAAATCAAAAGACGTGAAAGAGAAATCATTAAAGTGACCGCGCGCAATATTCCTGCTGCTGCCTGTTTTTATGATTATTAATCAAACAACAAAATAAGAAAATCCCTCACTGCTCTTGACTGATGGACTTTTGTAGCTAAAGTTTTTTTCTTATAGTGAAGATGCTGAAAGCACAGTTTGTTTCATATTTTTATTCTATTGTATTTATTTCTCTTTCCTTTGCAGGGTGAAAAATAACTGTATATATGCAGTTCAAGTCAGAATTATTAGCCCTCCTGAATATTAGCAACCCTTTTCCTCCCCAAATTATGTTTAATGGAAAGATGATTTTTTTCAACTTATTTCTGAACATAATAGTTTTAACAACTAATTTCTAATAACTGATTTCTTTCATCTTTGCTATGATAACAGCACATAATATTAGACTATTTTCAAAATACAAGCATTCAGATTCAAACTGCGATTTAAAGACTTAATTAGGGTAATTAGGCAAGCCATTGTATAACAGTAGATTCTTCTGCAGACAATCAAAAATATTTATTGCTTAAGGGGGCTAATAATATTGACCTTAAAATGGCTTTCAAAATATTTAAAACTGCTTTTATTCTAGCCGAAATTAAAAAAACAAATGAGCCTTTCTCTAGAAGAAAAAAATATTATAGGGAATAATGTGAAAATTCCTTGCTTTGTTAAACATGATTTGGGAAATATTTATTTTAAAAAAATTCTCAGGAGCGCTAATAATTTTGACTTTAACAGATAATCGTTTTGAATAATCGTGATTACAATTATGACCAAAATAATCATGATTATGATTTTTCCCAAAATCAAGCAGCCCTATGTAGAACCATCTCAAGGATGACCAGAATAAATGGACAGCACCTGAGTTAAATATGTGAGTGTCACAGCAAAGGGTCTGAATACTTAGGACAACGTGATATTTCAGTTTTTCTTTTTTTAATAAACCGGCAAAAACGTCAACAGTCAGTGTTTTTTTTTAAGGTTGATTGTTTTTGGAAGAAAGATCAGGGTCCCATACTGCAATTCATTTAATTCAAACGTAAATTAATGAGAAAAAAATAAATAAAAACATGAATCACTAACTACAGAAAACTGCTAATTGACACTGTTTTAATTCACTATAATCTTCTATGTGAAGCTGCTTTGGCACAATCTACACTGTAAAAGTGGTATAGAAATAAAAATGAATTTAATTAAATTAAATTGAATAAGTGAAGGATCATTTTTACAGTGTATTTGAGATTGTCAAAAATTTACACATCGCCCTCTAGTGGACTTGTGAAACCAAAAACTGCTCAAAGACATGGCCCAATATTTTTGGTTCTTAATAATGTATCCCTGGGTACATATTTCCAAAGAGCCTGGGTTGTTTATATTCCCCAAGGGTCATTTTATCTGATGATAAAGTAAACCCAGAGTTACCTGCCGATGAGGAGGAATTCTCCAGCTACCCCGAGGCGTCTCATGGCCATGAGGAGTCCACGAACTGTCATTCCCTCGCAGAAACACACCACTACACGAGCTTTGGGCAGACGCTCCCGTAGTTTCCTGAGCAGCCGGTCAAAGTGTTTCTCACCGGCGTTACTGTAGATCTTGTCGGAGTGGGCGATACAGAGACCCTCCTGAGACGCCAGCTCCTTAAAGGCCTCCATCCCACTCTCACCGTAGTTTCCTGAACACCAACATCCAACACAAGAACATCAGCATCAGAGCCCAACACAAAAGAAGATATTTTAAAGAATGTTAGAATGTTGACTTCCAAAGTGGAGAAGACATATACTATAGAAGCCAATGGCTTCAATATATCATCAAAACTGTCATTGTAGAAAAAAGGAATTTATTTTTATTGCTTTTGTGTTTTTATTGTTTATTAGAAAAATGTTTTAGACTAACAACAGATTAATCAATCTTTTCTATTGTATTATAACACATCTTGACCAGACACATTTCATCTTTTTTACTGTGCTGCATACTTTTTAGAAAAAGTGCTGACTAGTGGAAAAAGCAGAATAATAATAAATTTAGGTTTGTTCCAGACTGCTGTCTGGACATGTCACAAGGAGCATGATCTTTGTAGAAGTTATGAAATATATATAAAGATGCACGTAATTGTTCAGTTCTGGTATACAGAGAAGGGTTGCAGAAAGAGGAAGTATGTCTAGGGGTTACAAAGAGCCAAGGGACTGCAGAATAACTTATCAGTGAAGTTAAACCAAAACTCCACCTGTTATTATCAGTTGTTTATATATGCTGGAGTCAGGAAATGTAAGTTAGTTGCGAACCTCCTGAATGTAATTCTTGTATTGCATGGGGGTAACGTAGCCCAGAGCTCTGTCATTGAATTATTAATTTGTATCAAATAAATTACTAATATTTTTGGCATTGAAGAAAACCCTCTCCAGACCTTTTCTTATTGAACACGCATGGAATTTGCTTGATATTCCAACATCATTCAAAAAACTAAAGTGCAGAGCTCACCAATCTCGTTCCTGGAAGTCCGGTGCCCTGCAAGGTTTAGCTCCAACTTGCCTCAGCATACCTGCCTCGGTGTTTCAATTATACCTAGTAAGACCTTAATTAGAATGTTCAGGTGTGTTTGATTAGGGTTGGAGCTAAAATCTGCAGGACACCAGACCTCCAGGAACAAGTTTGATGATCCCTGCTATAGAGCAGTGGTTCTCAAAGAGAGGGTTGCGGGACAATGAAGGGGGGGGGGTCGCCTGGTGATTTACAAAAATCTACTTATGTTTATTAAACAATGAGAATTACCATATTTTATCCATAACCTAATGAAGAGATAAAATAGTCGTTTATAGTTACTATTTACTATGTAGCTACTATAGTAGCTTATAGTTACTACTTTAATTGGATTGCGGCCCCTAGGGTGATTGCATTATATTAAAGACACAGCATGAGCGTCAGATGCAGCAGATTGATGTTATAACACCAGGTTAAACTTTCTGGCCCATTTACAGCACTGACATACATAAAAAATTTAAACAGAGAATAGACTTGGGACTATTGGTGTGTGTGCGCCATTGCATGCAAGGTTTCTGTATTTATAACTACCTCAGAGGATATTGGGGGTCCCGAGTTACTGGCATTGTCATTTTGGGGGTCGCGGGGTGAAAAGTTTGGGAACCCCTTCAGGTAGCACAGTATTCTGGCCCAGATTTGGCATAAAGCTGGCACAGCAGGCATTCATCTGGCACTGGCACCTTACAGGCGGCACTCAAGACTTGGGCCAGACATCAAATGTAGTATTTGGCCCAGATGTTAAAAATTTATATGTGGGCCACGTAAGTTTGGTCTATCTTGATCCACTTTTAAAATACATTTAAAATATGTTTTAATAAAGATAAAATTAATCTATCAAAAATTCTATCAATCAGGTCACTTCAAGAAAAAGCACAGCCATAAAGCAAAATGGTTTATAAAAAACATTGCAGTTGTGACACACCAACATATCGGGCCCAGTTCAGGCCCAAACTTGGCCCAGATATGGTCAGTGTTTGGCCCTTGTCTGGAAGCCAGATTTGGTCTAGTCATGTATCGTAATTCACTGCGGCATGTGGGCCAAGCAAATGCTGATGGTGATCTGGGCCGGAGAAATTTTGCTATGGGGGCCTGCTATAAAGGATGAGGGAGCCCTCGGGTTTCATCTAAATTCTATTATTTTGCAAGATGAATGAAGGCCTCAGTGAATTGGAAGAACATGAAGGTGAGTGATTAATACCAGAATTGTCATTTTTCGGGGGAAATTAAACCTTTAAGATTGAATTCACTACATTATTTCTTACTATATTAATACTAGTGTATAACCCCCCTGTGTTTGATAGATACATTAACACATGCTTTTGTTAACGTTACTGAATGTCTCAGGTTTTACAGTGCACATGACCTGATTTTACTTCGGTTTTTGCAATCAGATCATTCCAAGCCACTAAACTCGGGGGAGAGCGAATGCATTCAAACAGTCGGCCTAAAACAGAATTAATGTAAAGAAAAGCAGCCTGACAACATCAGAGATGGCAGAGAGAACAGTGACTCACGGTTTTCAGTGAATTATTCATATATGTGTCTGTTTGGATTTAAAAAACAAGCTCTGTTATATTGTGTGAATGTTTCTGAGGACAAGAGCCATCACGCATTGAGTTGAGTGAAATACAGGCTGGCCAGAACGTCAGAATATCCCACGCTGTAACAAATGCTGGGTTCCACAAAATTCAGTGGTGTTAGGACAACATGAAGGAACTAAGTTAACTGATTAGTTTTTAATTAAAGTGGATTGAACATAAAACAATTAAGCTGTCCCAAAAAACCTCAAGAGTTGTGTTGTTTTAATTCCATGTATCTTCGTGGCCCGAAATTGCTGGTTACAGCCCTGGCTACAACTGTTTCTCAGTTGGATTAAACAAACCAGTGCTTTACTGGTAAAGTTTTGTAGGATGAGGATTGTAAAGAGTGCTGAAGTCGTACAGTAAGGAAAGTACAGTAAATCCAAGTTCATCCACACATACACACATTTGTACAGCTATCCTTACGGGGACATCCCATAGATGTAATCATTTTTGTACTGTAAAAACCAGGGGCAGATTGGACATAGGGAGCACCAGGATGTTTCCCGGTGGCCTAATGATAAATCATGAAATTGGTCTGCCCATACCGCACTTTACTTACCGATCACCACAGCTTCGGTGGCCTGACGAAATGGGCTCTATTTTAATGACCTAGGCTCAAAGTCTAAAGCGTGGGGCACTAAACATTAAGCATTAAGGGCATGTCTGAATCCACTTTTGCTATTTTAAAGATGGAAAAATCCGCTCTAAACCCCAGCGCATGGTGTAACAGGATTGAGCTTATTCTCTTAATGTGTTGTGGGTGTGTTTTTAACATAACATGCATTAAACCAATCAGAGTCTCATTTCCCGTTCCCATTTTACATGGCAGACTTTGTAAGTGTAAAAACTGAACGCTTCTCTAGCGAGAAAACAGTCAAACAGACCATCTGCAGCACAAGAATAAAGAATGAGCCTCCTCCATTCGGCCTCTTTACTTTACTTTTAACCTTTACTTTACTCCTTTACTTTTGTGGATAAGGAAATAGTGTTACACTCACTCCACTGAAGACATCCATTAGCCTACATATTTAATTCGGTTTGTTAAGTAGAAAGATTTGTTTCAAAATTATTTTTGAATTCAGTTTTAATTTTTAGCAAACGAATCAATGAACAATATCAATGAAGTGTGGTAAACCAACTGAGTTATTTCCAAACACACGTCCTATTCTTATGCCCCATATGGTCCAAAACCCAACAGGTGGACAAATCTAAACCCGTTTTTATTAAAACAAATTTAAATATGCATAAAATAAATAATACTGCTAATATTAAAAACATTATACAAATGCAAATTGTCATGAATAAACTAAAAAAAGCCCCACGAGATAAGGCATGGAGGCAGTGGTTTTTATGTTTATGTAAAAATAATAATTTTTATAATATTTAAATCCTTTAATATTTTTCATATGTAAAGATATTTATGTATTGCTGTACATCCTGTGTGTATTAAGCAATGTGTACGCGTTTAAACCCACATAGGCACATAACTAACGCACTCTGCGCTGGACTTTAGACCTGCTTTTTTTTGGTCAGGGGTGCAGTTTATTTCAGTTCTTCAAAATAGCAACACGCCTCGATGCATTATAGATCAGCACACCCATGAGTCTACAAAGTGGCGCAAATGGATTTGCTATTTAAACAGCGTAAACGTGAAAATTAGGGTTGCGCTGGTCTGAAAATAGCAACAAATCACGCCAAACACAAGTCCCCCACTGGTACAAACAGTACAAACTATCCCCATACCCCAACCATAAAAGAAAACAATCTGCATTTTGCATTGACAAATAATAATTTATTCTTTTTCTTTTCTGCTTAGTCCCTTTATTGATCTGAGGTCGCCACAGCGGAATGAACCGCCAACTTATCTAGCATATGTTTTACGCAGCAGATGTCCTTCCAGCAGCAACACAGTACTAGAAAACACCCATACACTCTTGCATTTACACACATACACTACGGCCAATTTAGTTTATTCAAATCATCTATAGCACATGTTTTTGGACTTGTGAGGGAAACCGGAGCACCTGCACAAAACCTACGCCAACATGAGGAGAACATGCAAACTCCTCACAGAAAAGCCAACTGACCCAGCTGGAGCTCGAACCAGCAAACTTCTTGTTGTTAGGCGATCGTGCTACCCACTGCACCACCGTGACGCCTTGACAAATATTAACAAGTCAAAATCTACTGGTACTGCTATAATTGTGGGGACATTTGGGCTGCACAATGAGATGAATACAACTTGTACACACAATCAGACATTTACTTCAATGAATGATTATGAGAGCTCAGCTTATGACCCCGATTGTGCTTTCAAACGCTGTTAAGAAGATTACAGTGTTCGTTTTTAATCACAGATTTTGAGTCGTATTTGTAATAATGCGCTGTGCTCGATATGAAACCAATATCAATCTCCTGATCATGATGTGGTGATTAAAAAGCCAGGCAGCCATCATGAACCAGTTCTGACCCTGCAAAGATTCCTGTGATTTGTAATCAGATCTAGTAGCTTGAATTAAACGTTTCACTTAGAAGCCAGTGGGATGGAGAACAATTGGAATTCAAATTCAGAAAATAAACTGTGGGACAGCATGGTGGCTTAGTGCTTTGATTTAAAAATGTTTCAATATTACGACTAAAGCAAGACCAAAACTCTAAGAATAGCATTTTTCCATATACTCTCAGAAATAAAGGTACAAAATCTGTCACTGGAGCGGTACCTTTTTAAAAGATACCTTATTGTTCCTAACAAGTTGTTAAAGGTACATGTTGGCTCGATCGCAATTTTATTTTTCCCTCTTTCCCCTTGGCCCTTGAAACAGAGTGTGAAGAGGAAGAGCTTTTAAATTTACCCCTAAGAAATGGGACAGCACTACAGCACCTGCACAAGTCATCATATGTTGTCCCGAACTCATATGAGATCAACGATGGCGACTGCTGTAGTTTTTCCAGTTGCATTATTTTTTGGTATTTATCTTCAGGAAACCACTCAAGGCAACGATGTCATGTTATCATAACGATATAATGTGGCAATAAGCAACAACATTAGAAAACACAAGAAAACAACATTAACATTATAGCAGACACTATAAAAAGCTTATTCCCAGCCACTGGACTTTTCTGACAGGGTATTCGAGTGTCAGAATGTTGTGGGACTGCTGTACAGGAGTTATAATTATGGATTATAGATCGCGAAAATCTCAGTTTGAATTGGTAAATAGCCCCTTTACGCTTTCAAGCTAAAGAGAATTGGGACACCCCTACCTATTCACGTGAATGTGCAAAACAAGGGGGAAAGGAAAGGGCTAAGAGGTAGAATTGGAATTGGGCCTTAGACTAAAACAAGACAAAAACTAAAAGTAAGAATAGCTTTGCTTTCCATACTCCATACACCATACCTTTTCAAAACATACTTTATTGGTCCTAACAGGTCCATAACGGTACATGTTGCCCCGATCCCAATTCTATTTCTTTACCTCTTCCTCTTGGAGATATTATTATGGATTATAGTTAACAAAATGGTGGCACGGTGGCTCAGGGGTTAGCAGTGTCGTCTGACACTCATGAAATATCTCATTGGATGAACTTAATTTAGGACGTCACGGTGGCGCAGTGGGTAGCAAGATCGCCTCACAGCAAGAAGGTCACTGATTCGAGTCCAGGCTTGGCAAGTTGGCATTTCTGTGTGGAATATTCCGTGTTGGTGTGGGTTTCCTCCGGGTGCTCTGGTTTCCCCCACAGTCCAAACATATGCGCTATAGGGGAATTGATTAACTAAATTGCTCGTAGTGTATGAGTGTGTGAGTATGTAAAAGTGTATGGATGTTTTCTAGTACTGGGTTGCAGTTGGAAGGGCATCCGCTAGGGGTGTAACGATACACTCAGCTCACGATACAATGTGTATCACAATATAATGTTCACGATTCGATATGTATCACGATATTTGGAATAAAAATTGAAAATTATTTAAAAAAAAATTTAATTACCAAGTAAACTATTTTTTATGCATTTCTTTTATTTCAACTTGTTAAACTGAACCTTCTTTAAGAAAATAAATTAAACAGGACAGTCTCTGGAAAATAAAACAATTTAAAAACTTCTTATAAATTATTATTGAAATTATTCAATTCAATTGAATTTAACAGTAAGAGCTTAAGGCTTTGCTTGGTCACTTGCTTTTTTTGTGTGTGCAAAAAAATAATAATAATAATTTCTACATTTCCAGGTAATCAGCAGTTCTTTAAAATAATCCTGAACTGATGTGTGTCTGTCTGAGAGGTTTTTATGGATGGCTGTCTTCATGTTGGGCATGATGAGTGACAGGGAGGCCGTCTTTTCATTACACAGGACAGTCGTGGCTCTTTTCAGCAGTTTAGGCAGGTTTACTATTTCTTCGGCGTCACTGATGTCGGTGCTATTAAGTGTATCATGTTGATGTGCATTTTTGTGTACCTATGTACTCAAAAGAGTTCATGCTCGTCGTAATCATAACTCTAAAATGCGATATGATTGTTTAAATAATGTGCACGTTTACGGTTTCATTTCCACTGCTGTTCATACTTCCCACGCGGCTCCTGAACGATCACTCTGTTCCACAAACTGAATGTTGTTTACTACTTTATTACCTGTTAGTCACAACCTGCAGGTTCTGTTCACTGAAGCAGATGCGCGTGCGTCTATCATAGTCCGCCCTCTGTAGTAACAGCTCACGGTCAGCTCACGTCATGTGTGATTTTGCGGCCGCCAATACATCATTATATGAAGACAGAATGATATTTTAGGGTGAATTGTACCTTATAAATACAGTATGTGACTCTTTCAACAGCATTAGGAGGTATCCATGTCGCTGTGCAAAGTATGTAAATCACTGTGAAGACTAAAACTTAGGCAATGTTTGTCCCAGTATGCGTGTCAAAAAGCGGACGAGTCTAAAGCAATGACTGTACAACCGAAATGTTGCCAGATGTCTGATTTTGAGAGGATGGGTCATCCTCTATTTCAACTCCACTCATCTTGGTCTGCTAACATTACTGCTGCTGCAATCTGAACTCACGTGCGACAGCAGGTAGTATGTAGCTCACGTGCAAACAGCTAATACAGCTAATAACAGCTAATAAGAGAAAACAGTCGTCATATCGTAATCAAATCGTCATAACGCCACGATGCATATTGTGACATTTTTGCATCGCAATAAATCGTACAACGATAAATCGTTACACCCCTAGCATCCGCTGCGTAAAACATATGCCAGAACAGTTGGTAGTTCATTCCTCTGTGGCAACCCTTGATGAATAAGGGACTAAGTGAAGGAAAATGAATGATTTTTTATTGTTTATTTAAGCATGACTGTAAAACACGAACGTCGTTATGAGTGTATTAAAATGTGTGTTTGTTTGTTTGTTGCCAAAAACACTTAAATTTGTGCATCTTCTGACTCTTGCAGCCACAGCCGTGTTGCTGTTGTATTCCAGTAAATTTTTGTATGCCTTGGTTTGTAGTTTAGTTAAGGAAAAATTCCATTTCAAGGGCTATCTAGCCCTTCTCCCTAAGCCTTCAGGCTAAAGAGAGTTGAGACACCACTACTCTTAACATGAATGCACAAAACGAGGGATAAGGGGAAGGGCTAAGGGGTAAAATTGGGATTGGGCCGTTAATACCTAAAAAAAAAAAAAGTACAATTATGTACCTCATAGTACTTTAAAGGTACAATAGTGTACACTAAAGGTACTACAAACAAAAATGTACCTTAACAATAGGTACCACTTCAGTGACAGCTTTTGCAAATTTACTTCTGAGAGTGTATTGTTGCGTTAGTAGGTGTGTTTGTCTGCGTGTGTGTGTGTCTGTCTCTCTCTCTCTCCCTCTCTTTCCACCTGCAGGCCCCGCCCTAGCTATGCAGGCAACGTGCCCTGGGATTGGAGGAGGTTACCCAGGGCATCCTTTAAAAAGAGAACAACGGGCGTAGGGCGGGACAGCGAGTTTTGTTGGCGTGTTGTTTTGAATTGGTGTTATAAAATTATTTTTGTTGTTATCGTTGATTGTGTTTCCCGTGCTGTTGTATACGTTTTGACTTTGTGTTTTATGTCTATTAGTGTTTCCCCTTCCTATTATTTTGTTTTTTAATTGTTTGTTTGTTGGTTGTTAATATTGTAAATATATTGTGCATGGTAAGAGGCAGTAGGGGTGGACGCCACACTTTTCTTTTTGTAAATATTTTCACCTGTTTTTATTCTTAGGCAGGGAGGTAGGAGTAGATTTTGTATTTTTATTTCTGTTATTTTATTAGGTGTAGTAAGTTTCGTTTGGGTTTAGTTAGTGTGTACTTTTGGTTTATTATTTTTCTTCACCCAGAGGTAGTTGGCTTCACGTTTTTTTTTTTTTTTTAGTGACAAAAAAACCCTAAAAAAGACAAAAAAAAAAGACAAATATAAAATGCTTCAAAGTCTGCCATGCTAACTCACCCTCTGTGTGAACCGCAGACACATACGTCCAGTTGTAGCGTTTCACGATGTCCAGCAGAGCTCTGGCCTGAAGAGTGTCAGAGGGCACGACCCTGAGGAAGTACTTATACAGTGTTTTATCGCTCAGATCAATGCTAGTAGCTGAGTATGCGATCTGGGGGATGTTAAACAGCTGCAGCAGATTCTGAACCTGAATGGCCACAGAACTGGATCCCGGTCCGATCACACCAGCGATGGGTTTCTTAGTGGCCGGCGGCTGAGCAGAAGGATTTCCCTCAACGCACCACTTTGGTCCTTCTCTTTCATCCCGAATAGAGATGAGAGAATCTCTGATGAACTCAATACTCTGCTCTAAAGCCACAGAGGAGTGCCAGCAGGAGTCCCGGATCTCACAGCCCAGAGTGATGTTGGGAAGGAGGTATGGATCAGAGTTTATTCTATCCAGTGTGTAAAACATGGCTTCCACTCTCTGGATGCCGTATTGTTCTCTGATCTCGCCACACTTTCGTTCTGCCACCTTTTCCGCCGACGGCTGGTGATGGACGGAAAACAGAGCGCCGATGATGATATCTCCATCCATCCTGGCCACCGAGCGAGACGCCGCTCTGGAAACCGCCGACCTCTCGGTGGACAAGTGGAGACGCGTGCAGAACAGCAAGAAAACAATGAAGAAATTCATTCTTAAAATCAGCATCCTCATGGTGTCAGATGTCAAATCAGCTCCATCTTGATTGTAGGAGAGACGAATGTTTGTTGCGCTCAAGTCCGGCCATGATCATCCTAACAGCAGACATTCCCTGTAAAATGATGAAGATGAGAGAGTATTAGAGGATATTATATTATGCTTCAGAATATACAGTTGAAGTCAGAATTATTAGCCCTCCTGGATTATTAGTTATTTTCCCCCCTATTAATGTTTCTCCACCAATCAGCTGGTGTGTGTTGTGCGGTCTGGCTCAAAATGGCTGCCGTTGCATCATCCAGGTGGATGCTGCACACTGGTGGTGGATGAGGAGATTGTCCCCAATGTGTAAAGCACTTTGAGTGCCCAGAAAAGCGATATACAAATGTAAGGAATTATTATTATTATCATTAAAGGAGAGCAGATTTTTTCCACACATTTCTGAAAATAATAGTTTTAATAACTCATTTCTAATAAGTGATTTCTTTTATCTTGGTCTTGATGGCAGTAAATAATATTTTACTAGATATTTTTTAAGATACTAGTATTCAGCTTTAAGTGACATTTAAAGGCTTAACTAGGTTAATTAGGTTAGGCTAGTTAGAGTAATTAGACAAGTCACTGTACAAGTGAAGTTTCATAAACTCATTGCGAGAGGAGCATGTGATATGATTGAGCACGACTGGCCGCTCATCTGCAATCAGTAATAATCCAATCAGAGTGATCCTAGTTTACTATAAATGGATCATTTCCTTTCTACAGCTATCTTTGTTTTCGAAGAATCCCCCGCTTCCACCCCATCTCCTCCTTTTTTTCCCCTTTTCTAAAGGGGGAGTTCTCAGATCTCAGATATGCTTATCGACCGGGCAGGAGCCCTGTGCTCAAATATCTCCGTGCTCAGGGTTCTCTCCCGGGACAGCATGCCAAACCTGCTATAAATGCCATGCATATCTAAGTGGGAACTCTTGAATGATGGTTTGTTCTGTAGACATCTGAAAAAATATTGCTTAAGGGGGCTAATAATTTTGACCTTAAAATGTTTTTTATTATTATATTTTTATTATTAAAAGTGCTTTTATTCTAGCTGAAATAAAACAAATAAGACTTCCTAAAGAAAAAAAAATTTAATTAAAATTAAAGTTTTATTATTTAAATTATTATTTTAAAAATATATTTTGGTGAATATTCACCTTATTCTCCGCCGACGAGTGGGCGCTGCCATTTGAATGTTTTTGTCCCGCGACCTCCGGTCACATTCACTTCCATTCATTTTTTGACATTAAAAACTGCTTGTTACGCTGCTTGATGTTGCAATTTGATATTTTCTTATTATATTATTCTACTTGGTCTGTGTAGTCATGCAAACATTTGTTTGTAGAGCAAGTAGTTTGACCATTTTCTGCCGTTTATCATTCCTAGTCTTTCTCCCATAGGCGACTGAATCTGAAGTTCTAAGACAGTCGCGAAAACAAGCCCACTTCCGCATTTTAGAATAAGGTCAATATGGGTGAATAATTTTAGCTTTGACTATATGTAACTCATAAAATATGTTTAAAAATGGCTCTTTTAATACATTTAGGATAGCTTCAAATAAAACGAAGAGACTTCGAAATTTACGACACACAATAGACGTAAATGATATGATCAGGCCTTTGAATTTAAGTTAAATAAAAATACAAAATGTTTATTTAATAAAATTGTGTTGGACCAACTCAATTGTGTATAATAGTGTATATAGTTTTTTAACTGGTGCTTAACAAATTCATTGGATGGAAATCCTGCCCTCAATTAAATTAAGTTTATCCAATGATATATTGTTATGAGTGTAGGAATGGCTACAGATAAACACAACTTCAGCTTAGTCCCTTACTCATCAGGGGTCACCACAGCAGAATGAACCACCAACTTATACTGCATATGTTTTATGCAGCAAATGCCCTTCCAGCTGCAACCCAGTGCAGGGAAACATCCATACACACTCATCCACACACATACATTACAGACAATTCAGTTCATCCAATTCACCTATAGTGCATGTGTTTGGACTGGAAACTGGAGAACCCAGAGGAAACCCACACGAACGCAGGGAGAACATGCAAACTCCACAAAGAAATGCCAACTGACCCAGCTGAGGCTTGAACCAGTGACCTTCTTGCTGTGAGGTGACAGTGCTAACCACTAAGCCACCATGTCGCCCCTGTTTTATGTTCAATCCACTTAAATTTGTAGAAAAACTAATAGGTTAACTTAATTCCTTCATGTCTACCTAACACAAATGGATTGTGTGGAATCCAGCATCTGTTACAGTGTGTATTGCTCTTTTATTAGTCACTCAATTGCATTCAACACAATGAAACAGCATCTCTCAGATCAGCCAAAGTCATTTAATCAAAGAGATACTAAAAGACGTGATGGGGAAAAAAGTCCTTTTGTATGAAAAATAAGCTCTATATTGTATAACTGCAGGTTAACTACTGTAAAAAAAAAAACATTGGGTTCTGCTCTATTCCTTTATGTTGTCCTAACACAAATCGATAAAGTTAACTTAATAGTTTTTACAAATTTAAGTGGATTGAACGTGAAACGAAAAGCTTTTGTTTTAACTCATTTTCATTCATTCATTCATTCATTTTCCATCAGATTAGTCTCTTTGCCAAAGGTCACCATAGCGGAATGATTATCCAGCATATGTTTTACGCAGTGGATGCCCTTCCAGCTGCAACCCAGTACTGGGAAACACCCATACACACTCATTCCCAAACACACATACACTACGTCAATTTTGTTTAGACAATTCCCCTATAGCGGATGTCTTTGCCCACACCAACCCACGCCAACACGGGGAGAACAAACAAACTCAACATAGAAATGCCGACTGAAGATTTGACTCGAACCAGCGACCTTCTTGCTGTGAGGAAACAGTGTTAACAACTGAGTCACCGTGCTGCCCTTTCATGTCATTAATTTTAGAAGTTATGCAAGCTTTTTTAAGTCAGTTTAATATAATAAAAGTTCAAAGGACTGTTAATATGATTCAGCTTAAAATTTAAGGCAACCAGTGCTTGTTTTACAGTGTACACATGCAGCATGTGCGCTATAATTCATTATAACAGCTTGTAAAACATTTAAGTATGTGCTTAATTGAATGAAGAACAACTCACACTCACAGATAAATAAGCTGAAACAAAACAATTCTTAAGTTTTTGGTAGGACAAGTTAACTGTTTTATGTTCAATCCACTTAAATATGTGAAATCTAATAAGCTAACCTAATTCCTTCATGTTGTCCCTACACCAATCGATTGTGTGGAATCCAGCATATACACATACAAAAAAAACGCAGGGTTCAACACAATTCATTGAGGTTGTTCAAACATAAATTAAGTAAACTTATCAAATTAAACATAAAACAATTAAGTTGTCCCCAAAAGAAAACTCAAGCTCATTTTACATAAGTCGTTTGAACAAGCGGCAAAATAGATACTAATATGTCAGATGTTCTACAGAAGAGCTGCTAAATCAGTCATCATGCAGCAATTCCTATCAGTACAGTAGTGTATAGTGATGTGGCTGATGTGCGTGTCCTGCATTGAGCTGATTCTCACCTGAAATCACAGCGCGTGTGGTCACATCTCTCTCTTGAGCTGCTGGAGCACAGACTGAACCTCCTGTTCTCATCCTCCAGCATGAGCGCAGGAAACTCCTCCTTTACCATCACCGAGTCTAGAAGAGACTCGCACACTCCAGATACACAGATACTAAATGAATGATGAATATTAGACAGAGATTTAGCCAAGAAAAAGGACATTGTATTTATTTTTCTTGAAATGTTTTGAAAGTTTTAACAGAATTTAAAGGGAAAGTCAACACACACAAAAAACACACCTTGTTATTTATTCTCCCTCATGTGGTTTTAAACCGTTTCTCTCTTCTGTTAAACACAAAAGAAGATATTTTGAAGAATGCATGCACTTATTGACTTTAATAGTAAAATAAATAATAATAATAATGATATGGAAGTAAAAGGGTGACTGTAACCATCATTTATCAAAATATCTTCTTTTGTCTTCTACATAAGAAACTAAAATAGGTGGAGAACGAGTAAAGATGGCAGAATGCTAATTTTTGGGTGAACTATCTCTTTATGAACATCTAGATTTCCCCTCCAACTGACCCATTAAAACATCTGAGAAAGGAATACACACAAAAACACACAAATGCATCACAACAACTGACATGAAAGAGTGTGAGACACATGTGCTATCAGATTACAAGGAGATTTAGAAACAAGGAGCAGAACTTAATGTACTGAATATATTTCTTCTGATGTGTTTGTGTTTAAATGTATTCATGATTTCTAAATAGATTAACATAAATACACCCCTGCATCAATACACACACTTATAACTATCAAATAATGAGTGATGGTGTCCCAGATCGAATTCATTTATATAAAGGTGTGACAGAGACCTCTGCTGATGATATGAACGAACTACACTGGATTCACAGACATGCACGCGCAGGGGCGCAACTGCAAACTTACGGAGGGAGGGGTATGCAGATTCAAGTTCTTCAAGTCATTTATGATTACACTAAGCATGTTAAGTCACAAAGAATTTATCTTATCCCACTTCAAATTTCTTCTTAATTTCATTTTCCTCACTAAATGATTATAGCACCTTGACGTGTCTAATTGCTTTTATGCTATATTTGTCAAAACAAAAAGATCGATATAGAAGTCCTAAAGGGAAAAACAACTTAAAAATGCAACCACTTGTCAAATGCTTATAACCAATTGACTGAAACGGCTATTAAACCTCTGACAAAGTGCAATAAAAAAGACTGTAAAATGTTTAGTGTAAAAAATAAACAGAGACAAACTGCCTGAAATGTTCTGTTTTATCAATGTTATGGGCAAACTTTTGTGTTACTAAAATTAAAATAGTTTTGAGCAGAAAAAAAAAACTTGTTTATCAATATGATACATAATAAATTCACAATAAAATATGTATAAGGTATAAAAAAGGGTCTTAATAAAAGGATTAACAAACATTTCAGTGAAAAAAAGTGAATATTCTGACTATTTGCTCATGTGTCAGTTTTAACAGGGTTAAGAAACGTTACAATCATTATACAATTTATATAGGGGAATTTTTCTATTTTTTTTCCAGCTGCAATGGATCAATCAAATGATCAACGGAGGGGTGGACTGCATAATTTTTTATTTAATTAAATACAATATTATACTCCTGTAAAATGAACAAAAAATATTGATTAATTTTGATTATTTGAAAATTTTATTAAGGATAATTAAAAAATAGTTTGATATTTTTTTCAACCCCCTGACTTTTGAGATATTGTGATGATCTTAAACATTTATTGTGAAAATACTTTGGCCAAAAACTAAAAAAAAAGATTAACCAATTATAACCAATATAGCATTTTTACTTAGAAATAGTACATGTTTTGAATATTGCTTGTGAGTTTCGATGAAATTCAAAATTAATTGAACTGATCAAAAATCGGAGTGGAGTGAAGATGCGTCGATTTCTCATTATTATTCATAGCGGAGTTTTTTTATCCTATGAAAAGACCCTGCTTTTTAATTATTCATGAGAGCACGTGCTTTCCGAAGCAAAGGCAGACCTGCATAGCTGTGAGACCCAATGACTGAGTGAGATCCTGCACGGCACCGGTTGTACAGTATGTGTTTATTTCCATGATAATAATAATAATAATAATTAATAATAATTCGTTACATTTATATAGCGCTTTTCTGGGCACTCAAAGCGCTTTACACAGTGGGGGGAAATCTCCTCATCCACCACCAGTGTGCAGCATCCACCTGGATGACGCGACGGCAACCATTTTGCGCCAGACCGCACACCACACACCAGCTGATTGGTGGAGAGGAGACAGAGTGATGATATGCCAATCATGATATGGTGAGGGTTAGGAGGCCATGATGGACAGAGGCCAGTGGGCAGATTTGGCCAGGATGCCGGGGTTAAACCCCTACTCTTTTTCGAAGGACATCCTGGGATTTTTAACGACCACAGAGAGTCAGGACCTCGGTTTAACGTCTCATCCGAAAGACGGCGCTCACTGAGCAGTATAGAGTCCCCGTCACTATACTGGGGCATTAGGACCCACACAGACCGCAGGTTGGGCGCCCCCTGCTGGCCTCACTAACACCACTTCCGGCAGCAACCTAGCTTTCCCAAGTGGTCTCCCATCCATGATCCACGGGGTTTGCTGCATGCTTTTCCCTGCGATTCTGTCAGGGCCATTACAGCAAAGCTGTTTGCTATGTGGTTATGTGTATATGAAACTAAGAATGTAGCAGGGCATTAAAATATGTACTGTATATTCCTTTGCATTTCAACTTTGTAAACTTTAAAATCATGGGTCTTCTCGCGGTTTGGGTCTCATTTTGTGAGCCGACTGATAACAGTTATTTGCTCCCCTCTTTTCCCCCTGCTCTGCCGGCTATGCCCGCTCCTCCCTCTGCTCACAGAGCTCCACACCCATCTCCAAGCATTTTTTGAAAAAATTCTGAGGTAGACCTGAACCGAAAGTGGGGGGTGTCATGACACTTTAACACACACTTACTTTAAATACATATACGTACAATTCAACAAAACATCAAAATACCCCAATAGGACTTTCAAAAAAAAAAAAAAAAACGAGGAAATATTTATTTAAAAATTATGAGTTTAATTTAAGAATTTAACATGTATTGGTCACAATATCAAAATGAGAAACAAACTATTTTTACATGGATGTGAAAACTTTTGCAGCAACATGATAACATATTTAATTTGAGGATTAAATTTCAGCCGCATGAAAATGTTAAAATAATAATGTGAAATGTTTAATTTGCGTTAAAAAGCTATTAATTTAATATAATAATGGCACCATGTTTCCATTCTTTTCCATGTTGTTTTCCAAGTCTACTGCTATAAAGTTAAACAGAGATGTAATGATGATGTTTTATTCGGTGTAAGTAACCTGTGTGTCTTTGTTGTTACACTCTGAAGCTTTTGAATTGCACAAGAGAGACACTGAAACATCAGGGAAAACTCCAAATGCAGCACAGAGTGGTTCAGTAAATGTGGTGTTGAATGTGTGTAAGAGCTTGAGTGTGTGCGTGTCAGAGACGCTGTAGAAGGACAGAGTGCCGGCAGACCGGTCCAGATACACTCCTACTCTGTTAGAGTCAGATTTTGAATATTTATCTATATCTCTATTCGTATTTTTGTGTCTGACTATGAACTTGTTGTCAAAACAATTTAGATTCCAAGACTTTTCATTGAAGCCGAACAAACTTTCAGTTTGCAGTCCTTTCCTTCTGATTCCTCTATATGTCACTGCTACATCAGCCCTCCCGCTAAATTCAGCCTCCCAGTAACAGTGTCCAGTCAGACTCTCTCTGGACAGAACTTGACACCACTCATCAAATCTTTCTGGGTGATCAGGATATGACTGCTTCTTCGCCACTCGCGTCACCTTTCTGTTTCCCTCAGACAGAGCGAGGTTAACGTGTGCTGTGTTTACATCCAGTGTGAGATCAAATGCATCTGAACACAAGAAAGATGATAACAATTATAACACAACAAAACAACTATTAAGATTAAGACATTGTTAATATCTATGTTCAAGAAATTCTACAGCATGACCACATAAATAAGGAGCTGAACAGCCGGACATGTAGATGTACAATCCTCCAGCAGTTTTATACATAACAGCGCAGGGACTAACCTGCACCTCCAGGGCAATAACTGTTCATTGGGGGCTCCACAGGGTCAGTATACATGGCGGGCTGCTATAGCCAAACCTTTGGTGACTCGTGCCAATGCTAAACATCAGATTCAATGGGGCCAGCAGCGAATATCTTGGGCTGTGGACAATGTGAAACATGTTTTGTTCTCTGATGAGTCTAACCTTACTGTCTTTCACACATCCAGGAGAGTTACGGTGTGGAGAAGCCCCAAAGAAGCATACCACTCAGACTAATAAATTAGTGATGGTTTGGGCTGCAATATCGTGGCATTCCCTAGGCCTAATACTTGGGCTACATCAATGGAAAGGACTACTTCTCAATTCTGTAGGACCATGTGCACCCAATGGTTCAAACATTGTACTCTGAAGGTGGTGTCGTGTATCAGGATGATAATGCACCAATACACAAAGCAAGACAGAGGGGTTTGATGAACATGAAAGTAGAGTTAACATCTCCCATGGCCTGTAAAGTCACCAGACCTAAATATTATCGAGTCATTTTGGGTTGTTTTGGAGGAGTGAGTCAGGAATTTTTTTTTCTCCACCAGCATCAAGTAATGACCTGGCCACTATTCTAGAGGAAGAATGGCTCAAAATCCCTCTGGCCACTGTTCAGGACTTGCATCTGTCATTCCAACGCAATCTCACGGCAATTCGTAACTTTTTGATTTAGTGGCTAATTTGTAAGAATTCGTCTGATCTAATTCGTACAATTTAGTATGATTTTCTCATCACCCAATGACGGTTGGAATCAGGGGTTGAGTGCCACGCCTCCTTTTTAAAATCTTACATTTTCGTACGATTGAACTCGAATTTGTATGAATTAGCCACTAAACTGCCAAACGTAAAATACTTACGTTTCCTTGTGAGATCAGGCTGGTCATTCCTGAGACAAATTGATGCTGTCTTGGCCACAAGTGTGGGCCTACACTTTACTAATGAAATACTGTGGTCTAAAACTAGGTGTTTCAGTGATATTCTGGTAATGCAGCTGTCAGAGTTCTTTCCAGGTCTAGAAAATGTGATCATATCACCACAATTTTATCCTCCTTACACTGTAGAGCTGTGAACCTACACTAGTCTCACGGTTCGGTTCAATTACGGTTATCATGCCATCGATTCGGTTCAATTCGATATTTCGGTGCATCATGGTGCATTGACGATGCTTTCCATACACAGTTTTATATTTTCTTCACAGCAGCATTTCTTGTATTAAAATGTATGAATATATTTATATTTATATACTATTTGTAATACAATTTTGTCATTTAATACAAACAGTCATAGATATAAACTGTAACTTTAAACAAAACGAGCATTTAGCAAATAATATAAACAAATATAAATATCCAGCTCAATTTCTGGCTCTTGCGCGCTGCGCTCTTCACAGATGAGTGACACTGATAAGTGGCAGGCGGCAGCGGCGATCACAGCTGATGTATGATTGACACGGAGGAGAAAACTCTGCAGACAAGCGCTCGTTTCTGTATGCAATAGTAACGCTGTAAAACAGCCGAGAAGAGAAGAAAAGCCACGCCAGCAGGTCAAATGGGCCACTGTGTGTGTGTGTGAGAAAGAGAGAGAGAGACAGAGCGAGAGTGAGAGAGAGAGAGAGAGAGAGAGAGAGAAATGGAGTAGGCTACTTTCATTCTCTCGATCTCAGTGAAATAGGGGCTATTGTTGTATATGTCAGTGAAAGACTGATCCAGCAAACACACACAGTGAAATTGTGCACAGTTTATGAGTTTTAAGTAGTTAAAGCGCTGTAAATACTCGCGATCGCCTCCCTCGCGACAGAGCGCATATGAGGTAAATGACATCAGTAATAACCGGTTATGATTATTACTGAACCGATACCGAATTGTCCGCGTCTGCATCGCAGTGCACCGAAGAAACGATTAATTTTGACACCCCTATTGCACTGGCTGCCTGTTAAGTTTCGTATTGAATTTAAAATATTGCTTCTTACCTATAAAGCTTTAAATAATCTAGCTCCTGTTTAAATAACCAACCTTCTGTCTCACTAAAATCCAACCCGCTCTTTAAGATCTCAAAACTCAGTGCTTCTGGTAGTACCTAGAATAGGAAAGTCAAGTCGAGCCTTTTCATTTATGGCTACGAAACTCTGGAATTGCCTTCCTGATAAAATCCGATGCTCAGACACACTCTCCCAGTTCAAAACTAAATTAAACACTTATCTTTTTAGTAAAGCATACACTCAGTGCATCACTTGCAATATGCATGCATAAATGCTCTCCATGCATCTCGTTTATATACAGTATGAACAGCAGCTACGCTAATTGTTCTCTTTATTCTCTATTTCCACCTGGGGATCCTCATCCCGAGGCTCCCAGAGATTATGCAGTGCCACTGATGTGATCCAAGACCTTTGAAGAGATGATTCCTAGATTTCCATAATCCTGGACCAGGCCGTATCCTGAGCAGCTGCTGTGGTGGTCATGGAGGAGTGGAGAGCATGAGACTGATTCCTGTGAGACTCCAGGGACAGACGAGTCTTCACTGAGGTCCAGCATTCTCCAGCGCCTAGACTGCAGCTCTGCACAAGATGTTTGGCCATAGAAGAAATGGATGTTACCATCTGAACCTGGTTTCTCTTGACTTTTTTTTCCTTTCACTTTCGCCAATTGGTGTTTTTTTTCCTTGCTGCTGTCGCCACTGACTTGCATGGTTTGGGATCTGTAGAGCTGCGCATCCATGGATTACACTTCAGTGTTTGAACTCTCAGCAGTGAATATTAAACCACATTGAACTGAACTGAACTAATCTAAACTGAACTGAACTTATACTCTGAAAACTGGACGGACACTGTTTCAACTCACTATAATGCTTTATGTCAAGCTGCTTCGACACAATCATTGTAAAAGCGCTATTGAAATACATATATATTGTCCAACCCTTGTGGATATTCTATTTTTGTACTAATGACCTCTATCTAGAAATAATGCCCTGCAAAGGATGTTTAGACATGTTATATTTCTGCACATTGTTTGCACTGTGAAACACAAAGAGCTCTTTGAGATTTGAGTTTGGATGTTGTGTTGTTTTAATCAGTATTAGTCCCCCATTAAAATAATCATACTGTGGGTGTGTGAGGACCTACATTTCTGTGGTCCAGTTGTAATCCTGAACTCCGCTCCATGATCCACACTACAACAACAAAAAAGCAACAACAAACCTGAATTTTACAAACAAATATTTCCCATATGTGAAATTAAAAAAAATTGTGCATCTCAATATGTGAAATATCTGTTAAAATGGGTGTTGCGTCTTGAACTACATGTGAAATCAGTCCAATGAAGTTGTCAGGGCTCTGGTTCTGCTCACACCAAGGCAAAATGAGTTAATTCATCTAACCAGACACTTAAAAAAATACAGTGTAATGGATATGTCACAACCAAAATATCAAAATGTAAGATAGGGTGGTAACCATTTACAATAAAGGTACTTGAATAATGATGTGCTAATATGTAAATTAAATGTTACTTCATTATGAACTAAAGATGGCTTGAGGTGTGCGCTAATCAAGAACTTACTTTAACTACAACATGAGTCTCATGAGTATATGCATAGCTTAATTACTTGCTAGTACATGTTTGATGATTAATGTATTAATTAACACTTTCATTTTAGCTAAATGTTACCAACATGACCTCATGAGCTGTTATTGTATGCTTATTTCATGACTTTACTTGGAGGGGCACTTTATCATTAAATAGTTTGTAACTACTCATGACCCCTGTGTTTAAGTGTAACAGATATGCAAGTCCATTTATGCGTGTTTACATTGAAAAACTATAGAAAAGTGTTCTATCTACATTAAAATGAATACTGTAAACGCAAGAGTTCAAGAGTTGTTTTAAGAAACATATTTTAATACATGTGGCAGGAGGTTTGTTAGTGTTGAACATACTTGAGTGTGTCCAGTCTGTAGTTTGGACTATCGAGCATCTCAGCTAATGATTCTCCAGGGTGATTGTAGCTCAGATCCAGCTCTCTCAGGTGTGAGGGGTTTAATCTCAGAGCTGAAGCCAGAAAACAACAGCCTACCTCTGTCACCATACAGCCAGATAATCTACAAACACACACACACACACACCCAAAAGTCTACAAACATGCTTGGGTCTAATGGCGGATTATTTAGAATATCAGGGGCGAGTGAACCTATAGCTGTTTTTCTTACCTTAGTATCTCAAGTTGACAATGTGAACTCTTCAGTACATCAGAGAGCAGCTTCACTCCTGAATCCTGCAGGTCATTATTACTGAGGTCCAGCTCTCTCATTGAGTTTGAAGATTGTAGAAATGAAGACAAACTTTCACAGCACTGACCACTGAGCTGACAGCTTGTCAATCTAAATAGATCATCAGGCATGTGTGTCCATGTAAACGTACTCATTGACAAAATTGATAGAAACAGAAAATAAAATATAAATAAAATATGTAATCTTAGTTGTGAAACAAAGCATGATCGAACACACACACACACACACACACACACACACACACACACACACACACACACACACACACACACAAATATATATATATATATATAGCTGAATATGCTATTATGCTATTATGTTATACTTAATAGCAGAATAATGAGAAAGAGATTTTTTTGAGAAATTGTTATAACTTTTCTTGAAAGTCAAGTTTACATACAATAAGATTATTCCAACCCAGGCTCATCGTGGAAACGTAGTCCCGCGGACGTCTCTGGAGACCGCGGAATACGTCCCGGCGGGTACGTACGGCTGCAGTTTTTGTTTTCGCGAATCCGCGAGAGGCCACTGTTGCGCGCTTTTTCGCTCCTCAGACGCCTTCGAGCCCGCGCTGTTCTCGCGTCAACTCGCCGGAGGCCTCTGTCTGACTGACCGGATGATTGACTGCGCGACCGGCCAATCGGCCGACTCGCCCTCCTCCTTCCCCGAACCCAACCAATTTTACCGATCGACCTGCCCGCCCACTCGCTTCCCTAAACCCGAGCAACAATTCACAAAAGCCGTCCAAAAAAAATAAAAGCCCTGATTTTTTTTTTATTCCACCGCGTTTTTGGATTTCGCCACATTCTCACCCTGTCACGAAACTCGTTCACTTAATTTTTGGGATTCTGTTTTCGTCTTACCTGATTGCTGGAACTGCTCTTCCCCGGACTCGAAACCGGTCACCGTGGTCGACCCCTCTCCGCATCTCAATGTCTGCCGAGGTACACGCTGAGCTGAGTGGACAAACGGATTGCAGCGGGGAAGCCCTCCGCAAGGAGGTAAGGCAAGCGCGAAAGGGAACAGCGTCACACCGCCCTGCAGCGTTCGCTTGAAAAAAAAAGACGGGACTACGTTTTCAGAATGAGCTTGGGTTGGATTATTCTGCCTCTGAAAAAGTTCAGATGATGATGTCAAGGTTTTGAAAGTTTATGATTGGCTAATTGACAATATTTGAGTTAATTGGAGGCACAACTGTAGAATAGTATTTAAGGAAAACCTCAAACACACTGCTTCCTTGTGTGACAACATGAGAAAATCAGCAAGCCAGATCCAACAAAAAAAGCCAGATTACAACTTGCTAAATTACACTGGAAAAAGAATAATTGTTTGGGACATGTCCTGTGGTCTGATGGAACTAAGATTGAACTGTTTGGCCATAATGACCAGTGTTACATTTGGAGGACAAAGGGGAAAGCTACAAGCCTAGGAACACCATCCCAACTGTGAAGTATATGGGCAGCAGCATCATGTTGTGGGGCTGCTTTGCTGCAGGAGGGACTGGTCCACTTCACAGTAAAGATGGCATCATGAAGAAAGAACATTATGTAGAAATACTGAAGCAACATCTCAAGACATCAGCCAGGAAATTAAAACTTGGCCACAAATGGGTCTTCCAAACAAACCATGACCCTAAGCTTACTGCCAAATTAGTCAAAATGTGCTTTAAGGCCAACAGAGTGAAAGTTTTGGAGTGGCCATCACAAAGCCCTGATCTCAATCCTATAGAAAATGTGTGGGCAGAGTTGAAAAAGCTTGTGCGAGCAAGACAGCCAACAAATCTGACTCAGTTACACCAATTCTGTCAGGAGGAATGAGCCAACTTCCTGCAAGCTATTGTGAGAAGCTTGTGGAAGGACACCCAAAACATTTGACCAAAGTTATACAGTTAAATAGCAAAGTTAAAAAAATACCAAGGAAATTTACGTAAACTTTTCACTGAATATTAATAAAAAATTAACAATAATAAAAAAATTAACAAAACAATAATAATAATCTCATTATTCTGGCATTTAGCAAATGTAAATCATTTAGGTAATCCTAACGGACATAAAATAGTAAACGATTAGTATGATTTACCATTAAACATTTTTTTAAATGGTTATGTTCCTTTTTTAGAGTTTATGTAGACTTCTGGTTTCAACTGTATTTTCTAATGGATGACTACTTTACATTAAAACTATTCAACTTGTAAAAAAAAAAAAAAAAACACAAACCTCAGTATCTCCAGTTGACAGTGTGAGCTCTTCAGTCCATCAGAGAGCAGCTTCACTCCTGAATCCTGCAGGCCATTATTACTCAGGTCTAGCTCTCTTAGAGAGTTTGATGTTTGAAGAGATGAAAACAAACTTTCACAGCACTGAGCAGTGAGATTACAACCAGCAAATCTATAACACAGGATGAAAAATAGTTCAATAAAAAGCTTTAAAACATATACCGGTGTTTGCTCCTTAAGATGTATTGTACATGATTAAGAATATGTACAAATCCTGCTACAATCACCTAAACTAATACTCACAGAGCTTTTCTGCAGTTCACCACAGCTGGTATCAGTCTTCTTTTCCCGCCATCTGATGTGTTGTATTTCTTCAGATCAAACTCATTCAGCACCTCCTCTGATATCTGAAGCATGTAGGCGATTGCTGAACAGTGAGACAGAGAGAGATTCTCCTCTGAGCAAGTTTGTGATTTCACAAAGTCCTGAATCTCTCTGTACAGAGTCTGATCCTTTATTTCCAGCAGACAGAGGAACAGATTGATGGATCTGTCAGCTAAGCGATCTTTATTAGTTTTGAGTTTATCTTTAATGTACTGTGTGATTGTCTTGATGCTCTCTGAACTCTTCTCTGTGTATGTCAATAGATCCTTTAAGAGTCTCTGATTGGACTCCAGAAAGACGCCGAGTAGAAACCGCAAGAAAAGGTCCAGATGTCCATTTCTACTTCTTAAGGACTTTTTAACTGCGAATTTTAGTAGATCATATAAAGAGATTTCATGACTCTGCAGGTCATATACGTTAGACAGAAAAAACTTCAGTGACGTTCTTTTCTTGACTGCATAAGAGTAAAACAGAAATAGAGCAGCGAGAAATTCTTGAAAGCTCAAATGAATGAAGCTGTAGACTTTCCTCTGATGAATCACAGATTCCTCCTTAAAGATCTCAGTGCAAATCCCAGAATACACTGAGGCATCAGTGATGTCAATGCCGCTCTCAATCAGGTCCTCCTCATAGAACATTACATTGCCCTCCATCAGCTGTTTGTAAGCCAGTTCAGCAAGTTTCAAAATCATGTCTTTGCTGGACTTCAGAAGTCTCTCTGGATCTCTCTCTTCATACTTCTGGTTCCTCATGTTGATCTGAGTCAGCAGGAAGTGGATGTACATTTCAGTCAGAGTTTGAGGGATTTCTGCTTTGTCATCTTCATTCAGGAGCTTCTGAAGCACAGTGGCTGAGATCCAGCAGAAGACGGGTATGTGACACATGATATGGAGGCTTCTGGATCTTCTGATGTGGGAGATGATTTTGTTGGCTTGATGCTCATCGCTGATTCTCTTCCTGAAATATTCCTCCTTCTGAAGCTCATTGAATCCCTGAATTTCTGTCAGACGGTTGATGTATTTTGAAGGGATCTGATTGGCTGCTGCTGGTCTGGAGGTGATCCAGATGTGAGCAGAGGGAAGCAGATCTCCTCTGATGAGGTTTGACATCAACACAGCCACTGATGAAGACTCATTCACATCACTAACTCTCTCAATGTTTGAAAACTTCAGTGTGATTCTGCTTTCATCCAGACCATCAAAGATGAACACGACTTTACACTCCTCATACATCTCTGAGTCCAGATCTTGAAGTTCAGGATGAAAGTCCAGCAGAAGTGTGTGAAGACTGTACTGATGATCTTTAATCAAGTTCAGCTCTCGAAATGGAAGCACAAACATGAAATCTACATCCTGACTGGCTTTTCCTTCACTCCAGTCTAGAATGAACTTCTGCACGGAGACGGTTTTTCCAATTCCAGCGATGCCTTTAGTGAGAACAGTCTTCATTTGGTCTTTTACAAACCCCTCATTCGTTGGTTTATGTAAAGGTTTAAAGATGGAATTGCAGTGAATTGGAGTGTCCTGTGTCTCCATTGGAGTGTATTGTCTCTTAATAAGAATGCCTTTCATTCTGGCCATTTTCTCTATTGTCTCCATCAGTAAAATCTCATGTTCTTCCTTCACTCCTTTGCTTTCTCCCTCTATAATGTAGAGCTGTGTGTAGATGCTGTTTAGGAGGGTTTGATTCCCATCTAGTTTGATTCCCTCAAATAACCTCTCATACCTGTTCTTCATGCTGGTCTTGTGTTGGTTTATGACTCTCTGGAGGGTCTCTGTTTTGTGCTGCTTGATGAAAGTCTCCTGGTAAGTCAGGTTAGGCACCCCAGCTCTGGACACATTGTCTTTTCTTACGCTGCAGAAACAGTAAGATATATAACAGTGAGAAAAAAAATGTGTTTTTCTGGGTTCTTTAATTTTATTTTAAAACTGTGAGCTCTAATACACAACCGAGATCAACACTAATACTGATTCTGTGAATATACAAGTAGTATACAATAGAGAGCATCCTGACCAACTGCGTCACAGTCTGGTATGGAAGCTGCTCTGTTGCTGAGCGTAAGGCACTGCAGCGGGTGGTGAAAACTGCCCAAAGCATCACAGGGAGCACACTGCCAGCCATAGAGGACATCCAGAAGAAACACTGTCTGCGCTGAGCATGCAGTATTCTTAAGGATTCCTCTCACCTTGCTCACAGACTGTTTTCTCCCCTGCCCTCTGGCAGGTGCTTCAGCCTCTCCCGGACAAAACCAGCAGACTGAGGAACAGCTTTTTCCCAGAGCTGTCTCCCTTTTGAACTCTGCCTGCCACTTACTCTTTTGCCCCCCAAGTACACCCCTTTTATAACTTATACTTGTATCCTGCACTTGCTGCTATTGCACTCCTGGTTACCCCTGAACTGCATTTCGGTGCCTTGTACTTGTACATGTGTAATGACGATAAAGTTGAATCTAATCTAATCTAATCTAATCTAATCTAATCTAATCTAATCTAATCTAATAATGCTGCTTAAAATATACTTTGGCTCAATGTGACTTTACTGCATAATGAAGGACAACCACATAAAAACTGCACTTCAGACATCAAGGAATCAGATAATCTGGACAGTGGAAATTTAATATTGAACATGGTTTGCCCAAGATGGACGCAACAGCAGCTACGCCAATTATGGCCCGTTTCCACTGAGTGGTACGGTACGGTTCGGTTTGGTACGCTTTTATTGCCGTTTCCACTGTCAAAAAGCGTACCGAACTAAAGCGTACCATACCATACCACTTTTTCTGCACCTTTTCGAAAGGGTCCCAAAAACGAGAAAAGGGTACCAAAAGGTGGAGCTACACGCGCAGCCGAACGCTGATTGGTTACAGAGATACGTCACAAGCTCCTGGAGCTACACAGAATGTAAACAAAGGATCCGCCATGTTCTAATACACAGCCGAGAGATCACATGGATATACTATATGCATAAAATAACCAGCCATGGATGACCCGGGCTCAAACAAACCATGTCGTCGTCTTGATGAACAGACACAATGCAAAGAAGAACAAAATCTGCCGCATCCTGTTGTTGTTTTACGAGCCCGTCTAAAAGTGCGAGTGATATTCGCTTTCTTTCGAGAGCGCGCGATCGTGTCTATATTTGATATAATAAACTTCTTGAGCTGATGATAAAAACGTGTAACATTACGTGATTATTGAAGTGTCTCCATCATCTGATCCATTCAGAAAGAAAAGGACAAGTGTGAGAGTAAAGCGGAGAAAAAAGGAGAAACCCGGCAAAACACAGGAGCAAAAGTGTTTAACAACCTGAATCATGAACAAACTGCCATGATTATCTTTGCCATTTGGACTATTATGAACCGGGAATGACACAGTTATTCTCTAACAGAGTTTGCATGTGCTGGTGAAGATTACAGACACAGATGAGAGGTTTGCTCTGACTGTGGGCTATATTGCGTGTGTTTTTGAACTCAAATAAGTACTAAATGTACAGTATGATGTTTGTAGTTTTTCTGTAATTAATAATATATCGGAGACTGTAAGGGGCTGTATATGTTCATATATGTTGCATTTATATATTTACTTAATATAATTACAGACGTTACAGTAGCCTATTTCACACTGTCATTGATCTGCAGTTATAATCAACTCCTGTTTATAGAAAAGTTAGTAATAAACATTTATAAACATTTATAAAAGTATTTATGTGTATAAAGCATCTGTTTTGTGAGAAGTGCTTCTCATATGATATGTAAACGACCTGTACAGCTTTACTGTAGACATTTATTCGAGCGACCATGACGTCGACTTAAACTTTGTCGTACACCACGCCCACCAAAAAGGGTACCCTTTGTGGTGGAAACGCAAGCCTGATAAAGGTGACCCGTACCGACCCGAACCGTACCGTACTGTACCAGTCAGTGGAAACGTGCCATTATTCTCTGTACTCTCTATATCCACCTGGGGATACTCATCCCGAGGCCTCTAGAGATTGTGCTGCGCCATTGAAGCGATCCAAAACCTGTGAAGAAATGATGCCAAGCCATCCTTAATCCTGGACTAGGAATCCTGAGCTGATGCTGTGGCTGTCATGGAAGAGCAGAGAGCATGAGATTCCTGAAGGACCATAGTGAAAGACTGGTCTTTGCATTGATCCCGTGGAACAGCCTGAACACCCGCCGGTGACCTACTCATACCTGCAGCTCTCAACAATGAACATCCAGCGTTCTCCAGCCTCCGGCACCTAGACTGCAGCTCAACACAGGAAGTTTGGAAAGAGGTGAAATGGTCGTGCCCAACTGAGCCTGGCTTCTCTTGAGGTTTTTTTCCTTCAATTTCGTCAATTGGTGAAGTTTGTTCCTCGCCACTGTCGCCACTGGCTTGTTTGGTTCGGGACTTGTGGAGCTGCACATCGATGGATTTGCTTTTAAGTGTTTGGACTTTCATCAGTGAAAATGAAGTCACACTGAACTGAACTAAACTTCAACTCTGAAAACTGGATTGACAGTTTCAATCTACTAGAACTTCTATATCAAGCTGCTTTGACACAATCTACATTGTAAAAGCTCTATAGACGTCAGGATGAATGGAAATTGAATTGAACATTGTAGGTCAACATTCTGATTTATTATTGTTTATTCATGTTTATACTCACTCAGAGTCAGAAGTCACAGCTCCATCGCTGAGATTAGGGGGAACAGGTAAAGATGCATCACTCTTCATAGACACACAGCTGGGTTCTGGAGATGCTGCTTTACACATGAGAGATTCCTTCTCTCTTTTCTCATATTGATTCATAGTGCTGAAGAAACCAGTTGAAATAAGAAACAGTAAATAGATACTCTTAGATGTGGTTTTGTTATTTTGGTTCCTTAACAATTACTTTGGTTATTATCTCAATGTCAGAGAGGAGCAGTGGGGTTTTCTCTGTGTTCACCTCATCAGCACAGCTGTTTCCTCCAGCGAAAAATGTAACTCTTAACGAACATTTCACTATTTTTATTTTATTTTTTATTTTAAACACTTTACAGTTCGTGGGGCATTAACTATACCATACAGTTTTGCACAGAAAGTCACTCACAGAGATAGAACATCAAGTGTTGTCTAGTAATAAAAAAAATACTTCTTATTTATTATAAATTTAAATGTATGCCATTTAATTAGAAAAGTGGCAGTCTATTTATTTAATAAATGGAAACAAAAAATGCACTAAAATATAGAAAGTCGTTTTTACTACAGTAAACAGGTGGGTTGAGCCTATTTGGCTTCTTCAGAACTCAAATGGTTATGCCTGTCTATGTAATACAGTGGAATACTGGTATACAACCCATCTTAAACAAACATTTAAGTAAATATTAGGCTTTATATATATATATATATATATATATATATATATATATATATATATATATATATATATATATATATATATATATATATATATATATATAAATTCTTTACCTTATAAGGAGCTCAGCCCCCCTAAAATAAAAATCCTAAAATTGACCCTGGTTATTATACTAATAATGCACAGTTTTCTTCCTGCTGGACTGAAAAATAAAATTATACATAACAACTATTTAAAAGAAAAAGACAGTGTATGGGTGTTTCGCAGCACTGAGGGTTCATGAGTTAGTCATATCTCTCCGGCCTCTCATTTGGGATGATTTTCATGAACTGGCCTCATTAAAACTAATTGAATAGCCCTGCTGTATGTATTAGTGAGTGTGGTGATGCATATGGGCTGTCATTCTCAGAACAAGACTATGCCACTGCATGAGACCCAAGCATCCCCTCCATCAGGTGACAGAAATGGAGTTTGCCTCTAGCTAAATGTACTGTATGAAGAACGCCAGTTTGGTCTGGAGCAGATGAATAGCTTAAATTACTCTTAATTTACTCAGTCCACTTGTTCCAAAACATTCCTTCCTTCTGTTGAAAGAGGTTCAGTTCTAACACTTCCAATCTCTACAATCATGGACTACTCAACAATCAGCTGATTCACTTTACACATGCTCATATTTGTCCTCAGCTGATGCACATTTTATTCAGCTTTTATATATGTATTAAAGTACAATCTTTGCATTTAATTATGTCTCATATATTTTATTGCAGCAGATAAATCTGATTTATACTCACTCAGAGTCAGAAGTCACAGCTCCATCGCTGAGATTAGGGGGAACAGGTAAAGATGCATCACTCTTCATAGACACACAGCTGGGTTCTGGAGATGCTGCTTTACACATGAGAGATCCCTTCTCTCTTTTCTCATATTGATTCATAGTGCTAAAAAAACAGTTGAAATGAGGTAAAAGTTAATAGTTATTTTTAGATGTGATTTTGTCATTTTGGTTTCCTAATGATTATTTTGGTTATTAAACTAATAATACACTGTTTTCCTCCTGCTTGGTGGCTGAAAATCAATTAATATATTGCGATCAATAAAGAGAATGAGAGAGTGTATGGGTGTTTCCCAGCACCGAGGGTTCTCTTAATGCTGAGTCGGGGCTTGAATGGCTTCACAGTAATTGGCATATCATTCCACTGTGGTGACCTCTGATAAATCAGGGACTAAGCTGAAGGAAATTGAGTGAGTGAGAACTATTTACGAGCCAGTGATCCAGCTTCTTAGTTTTGGAGCTAATCTTTTACACTGAATAAAGCTGCAAAGCTTCTATTGAGAGTAATAACTGCTTTCTTTCATCTAAAAAAATATCGCTACATTACGAAGTATGCTATCCATCTGAGATGCAGGAAAGTTAGTCCATGCTTTTATGACTTCTAGGCTGGATTGCTGTAATGCTCTGTCCGCTGGCTGCCCAGCATCCTCTATTATCTTTATTCATTTATGATTTGGTTATTGGTAAAACAAAGACCATGCGGGTCAGGTGATTGAAACTGTAGACTACAAATATTTAATTCATTATGAATTAAAAAAAAAATTCATAAATAATTAATTCACCGCCACCTACGATGACGATGCCATTGTCACAATGTTTTACATTAGACATCGTACAATGCCAAGTTGGCTGACATCACCCAACCCTAACTCTTATGTCACATCGCTGTGGGCCTTAAAATCACTGGGATTTGTGTCCTGTAATACAGTTTGGAAGTAAGTTGCACAACACTGCTTACCTTACAGCTAACAGTTAAAACATTAGCACCAACACCATGCATTAAAATATCTACACAGGTACACAATTCACGTAATGTAACATTGATGGGTTTTACTATAATCAGGCATTGCTTTCCCAAAAATAAGTTGAGTGAAAACATATGACTTTAATAGCTCAAATGCATATTTTCCTATATATGTAAGTGTTTTGGATCAAGTGGACTGAGTAAATTGAGAGGAAATTAAGCTATTTATCTGCTCCAAGCTAAACTTGTTTTCTTCATACAGTACATTTAGCTACAGGCAAAGGGGTGGATCTTCCAAAAAATGAAAATTCTGTCATTATTCACTCAATCTTGTTATTCCAAACCTGCACGATCTTCATCACCTTCAGATCCAATATTTAGAAATTTAAGATATTTAGTGAAATCTGGGAGATTCCTGACCCTCCGGTAGGAAGCAAGATGGCTTTATATGTGTAAGGCTTGAAGTTAAACTTGGGCGACTAAATAACAGAAATTTCACTTTTTGGATCAAGTATTGCCTTGAACACCATATAACACACCTAGTTAAGAGCTACCTTTAGACTTAGGCAATAAATCTGTGGAGCAAAGGTTTTATCAGCTGACAGATTTCAGTGTACATCCAAGGGTGCAAGCTGGAACTAATATCAATAATGGAAAACTCATTCATTCATTTTATTTTTGGCTTAGTCCCTTTATTAATCTGGGGTCACCACAGCGGAATGAACCGCCAACTTATCCAGCATATGTTTTATGCAGCGGATGCCGTTCCAGCTGCAACTTTTAACGTCGGGAATTAAAAAAAAAAAAAAGAGACTTGTGTTTCTATCACTCCAATATGACAGTGGACACTCTATGCCTACACACAGTTCTGTCCAAACAGCTTTCAAAAGTTGACTTTCATCATAGGTGGCCTTTAATATACAAGTCAGCTTTTCATCAGAGAAAATAATGTTTATTTATTAGATTATGAACCTGTGTGTTTTGTTGGAAGGCAGGGCACACCTCTGATACTTGAGTACAAATTTAGAAAGTTTTGCAGGTCATCAGACCCTTTTTGCCCTCTTAATTCACTTAAAAATAGTGGAAAATATTTTGTTATGATTGAATGTTGGTGATAATGCACAAATGTTCATTGTTTATAATTCTCAGTTTTCCATTATGACAGGCGACGCAATGGCGCAGTAGGTAGTGCTGTCACCTCACAGCAAGAAGGTCGCTGGTTCGAGCCTCAGCTGGGTCAGTTGGGATTTCTGTGTGGAGTTTGCATGTTCTCTCGGTGTTCGCGTGGGTTTCCTCCGGGTGTTCCGGTTTCCCCCACAGTCTAAAGACATGTTGTACAGGCGAATTGGTTAGGCTAAATTGTCCATAGTGTATGAGCGTGAATGAGTGTGTATGGATGTTTCCCAGAGATGGGTTGCAGCTGGAACGGCATCCGTTGCATAAAACATATGCTGGATAAGTTGGCGGTTCATTCCGCTGTGGTGACCCCAGATTAATAAAGGGACTAAGCCGAAAATAAAATGAATGAATGAATGAGTTTTCCATTATTGATATTAGTTCCAGCTTGCACCCTTGGATGTACACTGAAATCTGTCAGCTGATAAAACCTTTGCTCCACAGATTTATTGCCTAAGTCTAAAGGTAGCTCTTAACTAGGTGTATTATATGGTGTTCAAGGCAATACTTGATCCAAAAAGGGAAATTTCTGTTATTTAGTCGCCCAAGTTTAACTTCAAGCCTTACACATATAAAGCCATCTTGCTTCCTACCGGAGGATCAGGAATCTCCCAGATTTCACAAAATATCGTAAATATCTAAATATTGGATCTGAAGATGATGAAGATCGTGCAGGTTTGGAATAACAAGATTGAGTGAATAATGACAGAATTTTCATTTTTTGGAAGATCTACCCCTTTTCCTGTAGCTAAATGTACTGTATGAAGAAAACAAGTTTAGTTTGGAGCAGATGAATAGCTTAATTTCCTCTCAATTTACTCAGTCCACTTGATCCAAAACACTTACATATATTTCTTCAGTTGAAGGGAGACCATGGTCAGTTGTAATCTGTATATCTTTACAATCAGGCACTAGTTATGATTTTACTCCACACTTATATTTATCCTCATTCACATACTAAAAAGTAGAGTCCTGCGACGGACACAGCAGACGTTAGACATGAAAATATACATTTGAGCTAATAAAGTCGTATGTTTTCACTCAACTTATGCCTGATTATAGTAAAACCCATCAATGTTACATTACGTAAATTGTGTACCTGTGTAGATATTTTAATGCATGGTGTTGGTGCTAATGTTTAACTGTTAGCTGTAAGGTGAGCAGTGTTGTGCAACTTACTTCCAAACTGTATTACATTACATTTTACTAGTTACTGTTATTTAAAAGTAATCCCTTACATTACAATATTACTGTCTCAGAACTGTAATATGTTACATGACTCTTATATTACTTTCTAGTTACTTTCACCAAAATAACTACAGAATTAGAACTCAACATTCTAAAATGACTAAATGTACCGCAGAGCCTTTTACATCCAGTAGAAAGTGATATGATGTAGAGCAGGGGTTTTCAAAGTGTGAGGCGCGCCTCCCCTGGGGGGCGCCAGAGCATGTCAGGGTAGGCGCGGGAAAAAATAT